ACAGGTATTCACCAAGGAAACATGTTAACCTTTCTTTTTTGTTGAGTATATATATATATGTACATGACGTTCTGCTGAATTAACATATATATGAAAAAAATAAACAATTATCAAATTATGGGACAAATGCACATATTCATCTCGATTTTAGACATTTCTTCCGATCACTTCGGATTTTCCACAGTCACGGTACCTCATAGGCTTCAAAGTTTAAGCGCTTAGCATCACTTACGAAGGAAGACACCATTGTGATACAGTACAATTCTTTTTTCGGCACTGGTCTATCTAATTATGATTTCTTATAGATAGGCGCTATGCACTGTCATTTATTTTTTACAATCCAAGTATTCTTGTAAGAGAAGAGAGAGACAGAAAAACAAGAAACATTTTGTCTCCTTATCGTAAGAGCTAGTGGTTTCTAATATCGCAAGACAGGATGGTACACGAATGATTGAGTTGACCTATTTTATGAAATTTAATACACATATTTACCTTATAATATGACTATTAAAATATTAAGTCAGCAATCGGTCTAATTTCTCTTATCCTGATAGTCTAAAGAGAACAAGCGCAAAAAAATTAATTTGTGTCCGACGCGAAGATTCTTTTTCTCTCTTCTTTTCTCACGCATGTATCTGAATGAAACGAAAGTTACTAACAGAAAATAAAATTTGATGTCTGTCATGTTTCGGTCAACGCTTGATTTTTGTTCAACATTTTTCAACTCGAGACAATTTCGAACAAAACTGATTATTTTTTAAGTGAAAATTAAATCAGTAATAATTAAAGTTATCTGTCTATTGTAGTTATCTCTAAAGTTATATTTAGATAATTTTCTTATTGAATGAAAAAGAAAATACCAACATGCCAGCATATTAATTATTCAAACTCAAATTCAATATAACTGGGGCAAAATAAGAAGAAATGTTTTACCTGGAAAAGTGCAATGATAGTAAGACCGGGCGATCCGGAAGCGTAAGCGTCTTCTACTTAATCAACCACACCCGCCATGTAAATCTTGGTCAATCGAAGTAAGCTATGCCACGTCCTCAATTGAGAACAAGGTATACAACAACGGAACCAACAGGCAAACTAACGAGCATCAAACACGTACAGCTTTGGAATATTATATTTCCTAATGAGATCACTATGACGACCGTAAAACTTCCCCATAATTTTCATCAATCTGCATCTTTTGAAAACCCTGTGTTACAAGTTTGTTCTCAAGTTGACGATTTTTTGCACAGAGGTCATGATAATAGGAACAGGAACATTGACTTAACACCAGGAGTTGGAAACATAAATGACAATGACTTTACAACATTATGAATTGTTATCAAATCTGATGACACAAAACAGCCTTTTAGTAGGCGAGAAGCCAAATGATATGTATTTTCATTCTATGGTTAATGAACTTAATATAAGCGAGAAAGATACTATGAAGACAGGAAACCCACCTCACCCAGTCTGTAAAGATCGATCACAGGTCTAGAACTCTGTTACAGGAAACCCACCTCACTCAGTCTGTAATAAATGACCGTAAAAGATCGACCACAGGTCTAGAACTCTGTTACAGGAAACACACCTCCCCCAGTCTGTAAAGATCGATCACAGGTCTAGAACTCTGTTACAGGAAACCCACCTCACTCAGTCTGTAATAAATGACCGTAAAAGATCGACCACAGGTCTAGAACTCTGTTACAGGAAACACACCTCCCCCAGTCTGTAATAAATGACTGTGTAAAGGTCGACCACAGGTCTAGAACTCTGTTACAGGAAACACACCTCGCCCAGTCTGTAATGAATGACTGTGTAAAGATCGACCACAGGTCTAGAACTCTGTTACAGGAAACCCACCTCACCCAGTCTGTAAAGATCGACCACAGGTCTAGAACTCTGTTACAGGAAACCCACCTCACCCAGTCTGTAAAGATCGATCACAGGTCTAGAACTCTGTTACAGGAAACCCACCTCACCCAGTCTGTAATAAATGACCGTAAAAGATCGATCACATGTCTAGAACTCTGTTACAGGAAACACACCTCACCCAGTGTGTAATAAATGACCGTAAGAAAACCCCCAAGAATCACTTTAACATTCCAGTTTTAATTTCCCAGTCTATAAAGATTATTTTTTATGAAAGTCATGAGTTACCTCCCCTCTGTCAATACTGAAGGTGTCAGAAACTGCAACCTCAGCTGAAATCAGCTTTGAGCTAGGTATTTTTAGCAGTATGTATAAAAACAAAAATTTTAAACATATTTTTGATTTTCATGTTTTTTATGACATTTTTCTTTACGTGTAATTTTTTTTTTAAAAATCCACGCTGACATGAAATCAAAAGAATGCTTTAATCTCTTTATTCAAAGTTATAGGAAATGTAAACGAAACATTCCAAACTTATCTAAAGATACTGATGTAAATACTGGAGTTGTTATGTTGCTTAGTCCAGTGAATTATAAACAAGGATTGGACAGAGATATTCCTAAACACACTGATATACAGGCAGAACCTGGATCAAGGGAAGATGCACGGATATTTCTTAAGTGAGTTACAACTACTCTTTCATAAGGCAGTTGTATCAAAATTGTAAATTTCATAACCCCCATGTCCCTTGTTTCCATTTAACTTCGACTTTATGAAAATAACACTAAGATTTTGTGAGAAATAATGAAATCTTGGTTAAAACAATTGTTGTCAAATTGTGTGAGAATTAGGTACAGACCCCACCTCATGGACAAAGGGAGAGCACAAAGATTTTTGTTATCATATAGCATATCAATACTCAGGTTGGGTCACAACGATAATAAAAGCAACCGTGGTTACGTATGGACCTATGTGACTGTTAAGGTCCTTAGGCCTTTAGGAGGGGACGTTATCCTATCCTGGAAAAAAAGAATGTCTTGAAAATAAATTTTACAATTATATGGTACCATTTTAACTGTTTCAATGGATATGTCTTCATCGATATGCGTCACTTTTCTTGCATGCGTCTGTCACAGTTATGTCCCTGTCCGTTTCAAGTCTTCTACTATATATATGTTTTACACGGTACAGAGGGAGCTGTAATCATAAGTTATCTTCATCTGTGGCTCAATACCAATATCTTCCCTAGCCTGTTTTCATCTTCCAGTAGCCCAATCTTTCAATATACACATGCATACAAAAAGCAAAATAAATGTGTTCCAAAACAGCTTAGTACCAAGAACTCCAAATGTTTTTCAGTGAAATTCAGGTGGTAATTCCACTTGTAGGCTTGTAGGAAAAAATCAACTTTCTGTAGTTATCTTGTTTAAGGTACTAAGTTTTAAATCGATATTTACTGTAGATATATGCACTATACTGACCTGTTATAGAGACAGGAATATATTTTAATGCAACAATATAACATTAATTTCGTTTATATTCCGTTTTTCACAAATATGATTTTGGGAGAGTACTTTACCACTGCATTATATACAACACAGTCTGAATATTGAAGATAACAAATCTGGTAAAACCTGTCTTAAGCCTGTAAACTATGAAAAGAGACCTCTTATATGGTTGCCTGTACAGAAAGACCTCCCTGGCGATGTTATAATCTTTTTAACAAAAACACATTTTTAATTTAGAAAGCCTATATAGACAGACCTCCCAAGTTATGAAATTATTTGTTTTAAATAATTTTTGTAACATAGAAAAAGCTGTACAGAAACGCCTACCTGGTTATGTACATTATGTAATATTTTTAAGAATATCTATACAACAAAAACTTGTTTTCATTGATTTATTTTTAAATGGCATTTCTTCAAACAAGGACGCTTGGAAAGAATTGCCGGTTATTTATGGCAACAATGTCGTCATACAATTTCATAAAAATCCGAGATGTACATGCCTATCATTTGATATCTTCTTGTTGCGGTGAATTAGTTCCCCCTTAAAATATGTGTACAGCTGTGCATTTTTAGATTTAGGTGTTGCGTCTTACTTTGTGTGTGTGTGTGTGTGTGTGTGTGTGTGTGTGTGTGTGTGTGTATGTGTTTTGCGAGTTATCTCCCCTTAATCAATATACATAATTTTTTAAACTGATCACTACTTTTAAATCGGATATCAAAATAATACAAGGGAAAGAATGGAAGAATTGAAAAAAACATGTTAACATTTCTTGCTTCATCTTCTATAGACTTTTCCGAATATTATCTCAGCGGATATGACTTCATTCACAGCAATTACTGCAGATTTAAATATCTTTTTAAAACTACCTTTATAAGGTACAAAGGTGTACAGAAAACCTCCTTCTTTTCAAAAACACATTTTTAATTTAGGAAATCTGTGTAGAGAAACCTCTCCAGAAAATGAAATTATCATTTTAAAAGCCATCGTTGTAGCCTAGAAAAACCTTACAGAGACACCTCCCAGGTTATGTACATTGTAAAATATTTTTAAAAACATCTATATAATGTAAAAACTTCAACAGACAGACTTTCCCGGTCTTTTAAAACGCATTACTGCATCACAATATGAATATTAACGATAAAAAAACTGGTAAAACCTTACTGAAAACCATCTTTTCAACATAAACACCTGTAACTTCTGTGGAGAGAGACATCTTGTATGGTTATGTAGCAATCTTTTTAAAACTACGTTTATAAGGTAAAACACGTACAGAAGACCTCCCTGATGATGTCGATAAAAGGCAAATAATGCTACACGTTTTTGGTTAAGAAACGCGTAAGTTAAAAAATCGGATTAGGCATATTGGACCTTCGGATTACTGGACCTCCGTAACACAAGGCGGTCTCCATTTCGGCAGTTTACTGTGAATTCATACACATTTTTTGTAAATGTAGTTGTTATGCAACACAGAACATGAAGCAAACCAAAACACGGATAATATTACCTTTAACTTATGGCCTAGTCACTGATTGGTTGGGATAAACCACATGACCGGTAGCCGCTACCATAATATTATTGTATTCTGCCGGTGTCACCCGGGGTGCCTATGAAGATAAAATTGGTTCTCTGGTAAGGGAATTTTGAGATGACAAAACAGTGTAAGTTAACTTTATTAATGTTATCAATTTGTAGAAACTCTTACGCCTGTTTAAAATAATTTCTAGGAAGTCTTTATCGTGTTTAAAAGGTCTCTGAACACGTGTTGCACGTGTCTGCCATTTTGTTTTGACATTAGGTGGTCATCAACCGTAGACCAAAAATCAATCAAATCGTGACAAGTCACAAATAGGATAAATTTATTACTGTCCTTAACTTAATGTCAAGGGTTTGACTGTTTTGTTAATAGAAGTGCACACTATAAAAATGTGTGTCATTATATAGGTGATATAAGGGACGTATAATCTGTGTTCAGCGTCCCTGGTGATATATATATATATACGATGCTTTGAATGATCATGATTCAAGTCAGAGACGTATATAACATCTCTGTTTAAGTATATTGCGATTCAACTAAATCTTCATTATAATACTAGATTCCAAAAATGGTATTCAGTCGCACTAATTCGAGGGATGGTTTAAATGCCTCGACACTTTTGTAGCTTACAGATCGGCTTTGAAGCTGGTCCCAGTCAGTCTCAGTCCTGACAAAGAACAATGTTTTTATACTGTTCACTGATAGTAACTGGAACTCTTTGGTGACATGCAGATCTCCCACATTGCTAGTTTGGAAGTCTGTGTAGGAATTGACTCTAATGATACTCCCAGCTTTCCATGGTTTCAAATGTTGCTCAGACTTTATGGCTGGAATAAGATCTTAAGAGATTTTGTACAGGTAAGCTAGCCTGAGATGCGTCATTCTTGAAGGGCTGAGGTGACAAAGCCATCTTCATGAGATATGTAGTATAATTCTGGCTTCTCGGTGCTTGATTGTCTGCAGGAAGTTAATATCACCTTGCTGATAGGGGTCCGACATGATTACTCTAGTATTGATCTAACAAGGGCTATGTAAACTGTCCTCTTACTCTGCTGTGGACAGCTGCGCAGGTTCCTTCTTAAGAAGCTCATAGTGGCATTGGCTGGCTTAGTTATTTTTTCAATATGCCTGCCCACTTCAGGTCACTGGAGATGGTAATACCAAGGTAGGGTTAGAGTCAACCTGCTGTAGAATAGTGTTGCTGAGACTGTAGAGTTGGTGACTGTGGTTTGCACACTCAGTAGATGGCATTGGTGTGCCCCATTTATTGGCCCATTTCACTAGTCCCTGGAGGTCTTGTTGCAGGATGGTGTGTGGTCTCTGTTGTTGTGAATCACATGGTATAGCAGACAGTTGTTTGGGAACAGTCTGACCTGGGACCGTAACGCAATCTGGCAGGTCATTGATATGGCAAAGGAAGAGTATGGGTCCAAGAACAGTTCCTTGCAGCACACCAGGTTCCACTGGTACTTCCTCTGTCCTTTTCTCTTCAAGCACGACTCGCATGGATCTCGCAATCAGAAACTCGGTCAGCCGTTCGTGTATGTGCCATCAGCGCGAAGCTTCATGAGCAGTTTGGAGAGTGGAATGCCTTGGAGACGTCCAGTACTATACAGTCCACTTGCTGGTTTGTGTTGTGTGACTTGAGAAGGTCGTCCTAGGTTACTACGAGTTGGAATTGGCAGGAGTATCCACTTCTGAAACCATGGTTGAGGCCTGTTAGTATTTTGTTCCTCTCAAGGTGGTCCACAAGGTGTCGACAGATGATACGCTCTGAAAGCTTGCAGGACACACAAGTGAGGGAGATCAGTCTGTAATCTGTCTCCTTTCTTGAATACACTGGAGATGTTTGCAGCAACAAGACCTTTGGTAGGTTGCGGGTGCTTAGAGAGTACTGAAACATGATGCTGAGGCCTGGAGCAATGTTGTCTGCACAGGTTTTCAACACTAGTGTAGACCGCCAGGAGGATTTTTCATTGTTGTTTACCAGCCCTTTGAATGGTACAGTTGGTAAAATCCCATTCAACTTTCTGGAAGGCTCTCTTACACTCATGCTGGTGTTGACGATTTGTTGTGTTTTTTTAGCTTGCCTGTATAAGGTTTGTTTACAGTGCAGCATCTTGTGTAGTATTCAGGACGTCTAAGGCACTGTTGGTCTACTGCTTGCCAGCTTAGACGGGATGTTCTTTTCCATAGTGCTGGTAATGCTGTACTTGAATGTTGGCCATAGTTGGTCAATATTAGTGTCTCTTGTGGCCATGTCTATGATTGTTGCTGATGTTTTATTGCAATCTTGCTTGATGTTGTCCCGGTTTGCTCTGGTGAATTTGAGTATCTTCCTTCTACGCGTGTTGTTGTGGGTAGGCTTCACATCCATATCAGTCACAATGACGTCATGGTCAGATATACCAGGAGAAGATACTGAGGATTTGATGAGCGACGGGTTTGATGAAAATACCAGAACTAGCATTTTCTGTTAACGTGTGGAGGTAGTATGGATTTGTGTCCAGTATGGGGAGGCGGTATTTATCAGTGATTGTTGGATGTCGCTGTTTTATGTGCCTGTGCTCACGGTCAGGTTATGCCAATCTATATCTGAGCAGTTAAAGTCGCCAACCAGCACTTCATGTTTAGGCTTTGGTGTGTTAAATAATGTAGGAAGGGACTTGTTAAGTTCTTGTATGTCTTTATGGTTCCTATGGGGCATATAGAAGTTGCCTGCCAATATACATGTCTCTGTTGTGTGTTGCATTATCATTAGTTGTTAAATATTTATTTTGTTATCCAGAAAATCAAACACATATGTTATTTGATAAAAAAAAATTATATTGAAATATATGTATAGAACAGATTACTAATTTTCCTAAGAAATATGATAAGACCTCACGGTATAACCTCATACTAGTCTAATATATTAAACTTTGTACACAATCGTATAAATCATCCTTATTTATTTGTTTATTCGTGACGTGAAATATTAGTTTCAGCTATTGGTCTTTATAAAAATAAAAAATAAATAAAAGATATGCAATATGTAGAACATATTGTACAAGTGTTATAGATATATTCATATTTACCAAGACATTATGTCATGTTATGTTTTATAAATTACCCTTCAAATATGTTTACCATAAGGAAAGTACAGCCAGGGATGATTACCGTAATTAGGAACTGGACAATTTCTTTCAACCTTTTGAAGCCAGAGTTCTTTAACATTTCAAGACCATGTAGAAATATGCTGGAAATGCATTTATTTTCAACCATGAAATATCATTGTTCTTTTTAAATTATTTTAATTTTGCAGTTCAAAACCATATTGGCGCCAATTTCTTGGAACAAAATCATGCACAAATAATGTTCATGTATATCAATGAAACAAACCAAATCAGTAATTTCAACTGTCTACTTGAACTTTTTCATCACCAATGCAGCACATTAACAGTATAACGGATTTCAGAAATTGCATATTCCCAGTCAACTTATATTTGTAAATTTGTTTTTAAACATCTTTTTATTATTTGATTACATTACTAGACATCTGTGTGGAGATTTTATTGAGTGCATTTTTACAAAATTCCTGCAATTTATGACATGCAATAATAAACAAACTTTTAATAACAAAAAAAAGTGACATACTTTAATGAAAATCACATATGAATTGTTAAATCATTTACCTGTTTTGCTTATTATTATTGTTCTCCAATACTTTGATGCCGAAAGGAAACCGCTTTGTATGTGTTAAGGTCATCCCATTATGTCTTATGAAAAACTTTCCAATGTAAAAAGTATGAAATAAATACTCAGAGGCATGTATTGTTAATTAAGTGCACAAATACTAACTGTGAACTTATCATCAGTTAGACACAGAATAAGTTTGAACTAGAACATAGTAACAGAGAATATATATAAGTGACAATGTATATATTATTACAATGCTATCATAATTTACTAGGATTTAAACTCAACATTAAGTTACCTTGCCTTGGAGTAACATCTCTGATGTTCTGTATTATTTCTTTAATCAGAATATTTAAGCATGCACATATGTGTTTCAAGTTTTCTAAAGCTACTAGAGTTACTTGTAATATATAAATCTTATCACAATTTCCTTAGTGAAATATAGAAATTCCAAAATTATTATTTCTCACTAATGAAAAATAAAACTTTTCAAAAATTCTACCAAGAAAAACAGAACACATTACATCTTGACGAGAGATACAAAAATTTAGCCACATTCATGAAATAAATTTGTCACTACTGAACACACTGTCAAATATCTGTTCTATAAATTAGTGTAATGGAAATAGATGGATAAATATGAAGTTGAAGTAAAATGCCTATCACATATGGTTTATAAGACACTATCACCATAATACACACACTGTATAAATGTCAACAAAACTGATCCTATTGCCACATCCTTGAAATCGACTGAAATATTTATCCAGAAATAAAAATTACAATCATAACTATGTTTTACAAGGTCATTAAAATGAGGCAGAATTAACAAATAGCACTTCTAAAGTCACATAAAATGTTGATTTTCCAATCTCGCGTAAATAAAGACAATGTTAACACCCAGTAATAATTGGGAATTCCTCGATATGTTGAGTTAAAGATAATTGTAGCAGTATTTCTATCCCTGTCGTCTTTACCATTGTGGATATTTAAACTCTAGAATACGGCAACAAGAATACCAATTTATTGCCAAGTCTTTGGTTACCAACGTTCACCGCGGTCTCTATATAATTACTAACCATCATTAGAAACCCAGGTAGGTATTTGGTTACCAACGTTCACCGCGGTCTCTATATAATAAGTAACCATCATTAGAAACCCAGGTAGGTATTTGGATACCAACGTTCACCGCGGTCTCTATATAATTACTAACCATCATTAGAAACCCAGGTAGGTATTTGGTTACCAACGTTCACCGCGGTCTCTATATAATTACTAACCATCATTAGAAACCCAGGTAGGTATTTGGATACCAACGTTCACCGCGGTCTCTATATAATTACTAACATTCATTAGAAACCCAGGTAGGTATTTGGATACCAACGTTCACCGCGGTCTCTATATAATTACTAACATTCATTAGAAACCCAGGTAGGTATTTGGTTACCAACGTTCACCGCGGTCTCTATATAATTACTAACCATCATTAGAAACCCAGGTAGGTATTTGGTTACCAACGTTCACCGCGGTCTCTATATAATTACTAACCATCATTAGAAACCCAGGTAGGTATTTGGTTACCAACGTTCACCGTGGTCTCTATATAATTACTAACCATCATTAGAAACCCAGGTAGGTATTTGAACGATTTGGATATATATATATGTGCAACACACGTCCATGAGAATATACATGTAATAACTTGCTCTTTCATTTTCAGACATGAAGAAATTCCCTTGGTAATATTCCGCGCACCTGTTGCATTTAAGAAGCTAGTCCTCAAAGCGGTTCACCTATAACATCCTCAACTTCACTAATGGAAGGAGACAGTCAGATGGCATCTTGCATGGAATCGTTTTTGAACTGTTCATTGTCACTGGATTATTGTTCCATGGCTAAAGCAGGATGGCGTTACATAGGTATGTTGATGCTAAAATCCCTGAGAATATTTGAATTATAAACAACAACAAAGTATCAGTTAACGAATTACTTCAGTTTATTTTCATGACCATAAAACAAACGAGGGAAAAAACAGAAAGAAAAAAGTTATTTCATAAAAATGAAAGTTCCAAAGTGACAGATACATAAATTGTAATCAAATACCATTTAACAAATGAATTGAAATGATGCATCTGTACAAAGGTGATGGACATGTCCAGACCATGTGCTGCAGGATGATTGTCAGGAACTGGAAGGAAACATATGATCCCTGGAGGCAGCATGCCATTCTTGATCCCTGTTGTTCTTTTCTCAAACAACAGAAGGACCAGGATTTCATCAATATGGTTCAAGCTGATTTGTCCACAGTAGATGTACGAGTATTATGTTTAATACGATGTTAGATGTTGCGGATGATGTGTTGGTAGTATTGTCCATTTTACTGTTATATGGTTTGATGATCATGATCCTAAATAACTTCATAGTGCTCTCTGTAATTTCTTTCCTTGGGGAAGAAGGGGGAGATTCGTCTTGAAATGAATGTTGTGAATATTATAATTTAGGTGTATAAACCGAAGAATTAATGTAATCACTTGGTCATCTTATGAATCAAAAGAAAATAAAAGATTGATGATTTCAAAGCAAATGTAACTGAAAACTAGTCAAATATCAATTGGTTTACACAACAATCCTTATCAAATGATTTGCTAAATTCACCAAAATCTATTTTAATAACATTCTTTAGATAAAGTAGTTTGTGCTGATGTTAGAACAAAGTTTTGGACTACCGTTACATATTGCATTGTGTGTTTGTATGCAGAATGAACAACTTGAACAACAGTCTGCAGAGCTTAGTCCAGAGGAGGAATCTGGTAAGATTTGTCTCCGCTTTCAAGGTGTGATTATTAGAGCTGTGTATTATAATTAGGCAGTTGTAAAAAAGAAAAACAAACAAAAACCAAAAAACCATATACTGTACCAATATGTCAACATAATCCAAATCAAAACTCAAATTCAATTTTAAAAAAAAAAGTTTTTTTTGGGGGGGGGGGGGGGGGGAACGGCAATATATGAACAAAATATGCAAAATTAAAGGAAGAATAAGACCAGGTGTTCCGGAAGTGAAAGCGTCTTCTGCTTCATCAACAACACCCACCATGTAAACCTTGGTCAATCCAAGGTAAGTAATGTCATGTTCTCAAATGAGAACAACGTATACAACAATGAAACCAACAGGCAAACTAACGAGCATCAAACATGTCCAACTTCCTACCACACAAAGAAATAGAATATTTCTCAATGAGACCACTGTGACGATCGTAAAACTTCCCCATAATTTTCATTTACCTGCATCTTTAATATCTAGAAATATTTTCATCCATGGTGATTAGCATCTTTACATTTCTATGGCCAGCTATTTATGTGATAACCTCGTGCATCATTTTGATCTATATATGAAATGTGTAGTTATTATGTATAATACAAGACATGTTGGTACAATTTAAATTTCTAGTGCAGAAGGTGACGACAAACATGTTGACACGTAACACAAATGGGTTGATACAGATGTCAATTTTTTTTTTAACACCAGAAATTAACAAAAATCAATTGTTGATAGCTTAATATTAATTATTAATAGAAGTAACTTGATTTTCGAGGGGAAAAAATGGTTAAAATTGAATTAAAATAATGAGAAGACAATACATGCTCTTGCATATCTTTTGTGTCATGGAAATGGGATGTGTAATACATTCCTTTGAAAAAATGTTCATGAAGATGATTATCTTGTCAGATTGTTGTACAAATACAGATACAGTAGAGCTCAACAATGAATTAAAATGCATCATACAGCTGTTTCCTCCTTCTAGGTCTCGTCAGTGATGCCTAGAGCTTAACTTTGGCAGCATAGGAGGTGACTAAGGAAAATTTAAGGTCATCGAAAGAATGTCATAATCGAGATGGAAACATTAAATACAAAAATACATTTACAAAAAAAAAATTTAATATGGCAATAGTATGCATCTTTATTTTAAGAAATTTGTATACATCTTGTCTCATTTTTGCCATTGCAGAATATAAGGTGTTGTTAAAGGTGAATGACAGGAGAAAGAAACGGCAGTATTGCTTGGTATGTGAAGAAGAACCTCGAGCATTCAGTTACTTGCCTTGCGGACATTTTGCTTGCTGCCTATGTTGTGACCCTGCACAACTTAAATGTCCTTCATGTAAAGTGATCATAAGTCAAAGGATAAGAACATTTTTGCCATAACAGCTGGGATCAGAGAGACTACGATACATAGTCATAGGGTGGTCGGGTGGCGCAGTGGTAACGTACTCGCCTTTCACCTAGCCGACCGGGGTTTGATTCCCGGAACGGACGTGAAAAGGTAAGGGGTCACCTGCTCGACCACGTGGGTTTTCCCCGGGTACTCCAGTTTCCTCCCACAATAAGACCCCATGCGCGCTTACATCCGGGCCAACAAGAGTGATTAGTATAAGTTGACATAACTTGTTTCACAATTGTTGTAAAATAAAGAAAGTTTATATTATTATAGTCTTATCAAGGAGGGTGTACCTACCTTTTATTGTAATTTATTTAACAGTAATTGCTAAATATCCTAACAGCTATTAATAATCACTCATTTTGGCCCAAATGGAAACATGTGAAGGGCCAATTGTTGGAGGAAACCAGAAGGGAAGTTAGACAATATTTTGCTTTAAAATGCTACTCTTTCTTAATGCTGCATGGATTTCAACCAAATTTGGTCTGTAACATCATTGAGAGTGGGAAATTTTTTCTTAAATTCAGAAAGTTGATTTGACCCCTAGGGACTTTAGGGGCATGGGTCGAAAAGGGAAGTGAGACAATATTTTGCTTCAAAGCGGTACTCCTCTTTAATGCCATTGTAGATTTCCACCAAATTTGGCCTGAAACATTATCTGTGAGTGAAAATGATATCAAGCATGCATGAAGTGATCCTGAGATTTTCCTGACCAAATCTTATTTTTACGCTTTTGTCCAAAATCCAAGACAGCTCATCTAGAACAAATAGTCTGAACTACTCCTCAAGTTTCGTTCACACCGATGATAAAAGTATTTGGTGTTTGATTTGTTGAGGGAAAGAAAGAGATGTTCTGTTGTTATTTTTCAGTCTGATCAAAACTTCAACATAGTAACCACAGTAGTCATTTTGTATCATGATTGTGCAACTGCTTTTGATAAACAGAACCTACTATTTATGAGTGTCTGATACTTTCAAGGAATGTTCAAAATTTGAATTCATCGGATTTGTCTGATCACCATCAGTGAATTCTGTGGTTTGTCCATCCATTTTTTATGATGGTGTACTTTTTTTTATTTAACTTAGATGGATCAAATCATTTCTAAATTTTCTTTGATCAATATTTTCTGTTGAGGATTTGTTAATTTATCTCATTGGGGTTTTTAATTTTTTGTTGTGATTTTACAATTTTATATAATCCTATGCAACAGGTGTTAATAACTGTTAATGAAAATTCATTATTAATGATACTGAGTGGTGATTTTTAAGTCATGACTGGTAATTGTTATGACTGAGCTGTGTAGCTATGGTCTGAAAATGCATGTCAAAGCTGGAAAGTATCATATGGTCTTTGCATGATATGAGAATAAGTGTTATTCATAATTGCTATAGATACATAAAAACACTGAAACTTGTTCATAATGATTTCATTTAAATTTCATCTGGTATACATAAAGGGAGGTAATTTGGGTGTTCTTGTGGTTGAGAATTTCAGCTGTTTTCAAAGGAATGGTATCACTTGGAAATCTGTTCTACAGTAGGTAACAGTTATAAAATAAGTCAGTAACAACCTTAGAATGTATTTAGACTGGATTTCAGGGCAATTCCAATAGTTTAATGTGTGGTATGGTATCCATGGTAACTAAGAAGGAAAGTATGAGTTTTTGAATTCTGGATGTATTCTCTGTTTTGATAATTTTTACTCAATAATGTGTGTGTATTTCTCAGACTGAGCATATAGTCATGTCAATATTGTCATTAAGTAACACTTGCATAATTAAAGCTGTAAAATATACTTTTTTTTTTAACAATATTGGAATCTTGTAGAGTTTCTGATAATCACAGGAGGGTAGGGACAGTAAGCATAGATGTATGTGATGTCATACACATGACTTTTAAGAATATCTGATGTCATATCACTGTTAATTAATTTTCAGAAATGTACTGTTGACATCACAAGTTACTATGACGTCATAAGCAAGACTACATATATATAGTATCACTCTACTTTTCTGTTATCTAGATTTACAGAAGCACAAACTACTTGATTCAGTTTCAATTGCAACTTTATTCAAGAAAAATTAAGGCGTATTGAAATTAAAATTTTTCAAATTACCTCCCTTTATTCCTAATTTGAGAGCAGAATTGGTCAAAACACACCATGCGGGAAAATCTATATTACTCAAAGCTATTTGAGATACACAGTAAAGCGATATATCGTTTTGTTCATGTGATCATTTTCTAGGCACTCGGAGGGATTTTAATGAAATTCAAAAAAATAAATGTGCTGTATAATATAGCAGTTTCTCGGTGTTGCCATGGGCGATATTTTTGTTCATTAGATTACCCCATTAAAAGGTTTTAATTAAGATTTGAAAATCAAATCCTTCCTAAAATTGGTCTTGTCATGTTGAAGTGGACAAAGTGGAATTTCATTTTTTTTTCAGAATAATATCTTAGCTTTGTGTTGGAGGTTACTATTTTGACAGTCTCCAATCTGTGTCCGTGCACCAAAAACTAGCTTTACCAGAAGTGAAATTTTCATAGTGTTTACACGTGGTCATGTTGTGAAGGATTTCCAAGTTTTTGCTGAAATGCATTTTTCAATGTAACCATGACAATCATATGGTCAGAAATCAGAATTTTTTATTTACAGAAATTTTGTCTCTCTAATATGAATGTAATTGTTATGTAGTTTATAAATATATTTACATGTAAGGATGTATTTTTCATAACCAAACTGTATATCTCAAAAATGACCAATAATTTCAGGAAAAATGGAAATTAGCTGTTTCCTTCTACTTTATTTAAAAGTATAAGGAAAGTAAGTCTTTTTAAGCTTACCTACAGGGATACCTTAGCATCCGCCATCCAGGTGGTGCAGTTGGTAAGGAAGATGTCAAATATCTTTGGTAATTTGGTGCTGTATATTGTAAGTTTGAGGCCAGGGTAGGGCACAAATAAAAAATTGTCTTCTTTTGTTATTTTTGATATTGTATTCACATATATATATATATATATATATATATATATATATTCATTTTTATAGAAAAATTGAAATTCTTTGTTGTTAATTTGATAACATATGGTAGTTACAATGTACTTATGATGAAAATTGTAATAAAATATGAAATTAAATCTTTCTGTGTTTGTATTTAAAACTCATCAATCAAATTTCTATCTTATTGTTATGAATATTTTTCAAAATACAAGGTTATCTAAATAATTGTTAGTAGGACCATATTACTTGTGAGTAACATGTACAAGGGCTGATTGATAAGTTTGAGCCTATATTGCATTATTTTTAACATACCCGGTAAACCCTTTCAGTATCTATACACTTTTGCAAGCAATGGTTAAGGGCCTCATTGCCACTTTTAAAGAAGTCCTTTTCTTGACAGTTCAAAAAGACCTCTACTACATGTATCATATCATCATCTGACCAAAAGTGGGTATTGGAAATGGCCTTTTTCAAATCTGGGAACAGAAGTCTGATAGACCGAGATCAGGCAGTATAGTGGATGCTCAATCAATTCAAAGCCATTATCACTAATGGCAGCCATGGCAATGACAGATTTGTGAACAGAGGCTGTGTCCTGGTGAAACTACACACCTTAACTGAGTTTTCTTTGGCACTTGAGTTTGATATTTTCTCTGAACTGCCCAAGAAGTGACACATGGTATGTGCCACCGATTGTTTGTCTCTTTTGCAGATATGATTACCTGTTAGCTTTTTAGATATACTTACCAAACATAATCTTACGTAATGATCATAGTGATATCGTTCCAGGGGTTAAAATAAAGTACAAAGCAAGAAAAAAATTGTTTATGCAAAAACGTAAAATTAACAAATTTTGCCTGGAAAATGAGGAAAATAATACATGATTGGGAAAATTTTTTTGATTTTTGTTATCATTGCTACAGATACAGATACCTAACTTCAAGCAATAACAAAGACAAAATGTAATTTGGAAGCATTTTCAAGTGATTTGTCACAATCTATAACTGATTTTTTCATTTTTAATATTATTTGCCTTGAGATATGGTATGTTGAAATCTGAGTTGGTAGAATAGAATACATTGTATGTAAGATCTGAGGTGGTAGAATAGAATACAGTGTATGTGAAATATGAGGTGGTAGAATAGAATACAGTATGTAAAATCTTAGGTGGTAGAATAGAATACATTTTTTGTGAAATCTGAGGTGGTAGAATAGAAAATAGTGTATGTAAAATCTTAGGTGATAGAATAGAAAACAGTGTATGTAAAATCTTAGGTGATAGAATAGAAAACAGTGTATGTAAAATCTTAGGTGGTAGAATAGAATACAGTGTATGTAAAATCTTAGGTGGTAGAATAGAATACAGTATGTAAAATCTTAGGTGGTAGAATAGAATACAGTATGTAAAATCTTAGGTGGTAGAATAGAATACATTTTTTGTGAAATCTGAGGTGGTAGAATAGAAAATAGTGTATGTAAAATCTTAGGTGGTAGAATAGAAAATAGTGTATGTAAAATCTTAGGTAATAGAATAGAAAACAGTGTATGTAAAATCTTAGGTGATAGAATAGAAAACAGTGTATGTAAAATCTTAGGTGGTAGAATAGAATACAGTGTATGTAAAATCTTAGGTGGTAGAATAGAATACAGTATGTAAAATCTTAGGTGGTAGAATAGAATACATTTTTTGTGAAATCTGAGGTGGTAGAATAGAAAATAGTGTATGTAAAATCTTAGGTGATAGAATAGAAAACAGTGTATGTAAAATCTTAGGTGATAGAATAGAAAACAGTGTATGTAAAATCTTAGGTGGTAGAATAGAAAACAGTATGTAAAATCTTAGGTGGTAGAATAGAAAACAGTATGTAAAATCTTAGGTGATAGAATAGAATACAGTGTATGTAAAATCTTAGGTGGTAGAATAGAAAATAGTGTATGTAAAATCTTAGGTGATAGAATAGAAAACAGTGTATGTAAAATCTTAGGTGGTAGAATAGAATACAGTATGTAAAATCTTAGGTGGTAGAATAGAATACAGT